TCAAGTCTTCACCTGAGTCTGCATACAGCCCTGAACACCAGTTCTTAAGTGAAAATTGCTTTTATTATGTTAGGTATGTTGTCTCTGAATCCTAACAATGATGATTTAATAACAATACGATTACTGCAACATTTGAGAGAATATCAATTTTTTTAACTAGCTGTACCAAAAATTTTTAGTCCAACCCTACACTGGTTTCTCTCCTCTTTTTAAAGATGTACAATGTCTTAATTTTAGACATAAAATGTTACTGAGGAGGAAATTCCTATAATATACTGAGCATTAGTGATGGGGTGAGGTACAGTATTTACTTTGTTTTGCAAATAATTAGATTATTTTCAGAACTTTTGTTCCTATATAATTGTTAAATTGTTCTCGAGTTTTTACAGGTTATCACAATTTATATTTTATTACATTTCTTGAAATCCTTTTTTGATTTTTCCTCAAAATTGTTTGACAGGAGTTTTAATTAAATACTACTATTTTAAAAAGAGTAAGTCTGCTTTAGTCTGACTTTGCTCACAGCATCTCTAATCCTCTCCTACCCCCACTTCTACTTTCTTCTAACCAATTTCAATATTACTAAGGACCTTTCAATCAAACTGACATATATTCAAAACAGCTAACTAAAATTAATACATTCTGAATTTATCCTGTGATTTGAATATTTATTAACTAACACAACCCCTTGAAAGCCAGAGACCTGATATTGGAAAGGAAAATTTTTCTCTCTCCTTCCAAAAGCAAATTTTCTGGTAAATTGTCCTGTAGAGTGACAAAATGTTCAGTCGTCTTTGCTAATGAATCTATCTTACCAAGTACATGGTGTGCAGCTTGAGTGGTAAATGATGTTTTAATGTTGCAGCTCAGAATTGAGAAATACCTTGATGAATTTTTTGGAGCTTTATAAATTCAAGCATTGGCAATATGAAGGCTCACATGACTTGTTTTAACAAAGATGGTAATTGTTTGGATCCCATGATTAAAACAGAACAAAACCTAGTTATTACAACAGTTTGTACTATGCCCACAGATAACAAAAACACTTTTATTGCCAAGTAGTCATCAAGGAAGGCATGTAATTAGCAACTTGCCTTCAAGTGGCTTGAAAGATACTACTACAGTGCCCACAAATGGTAGGACTTTTCAGGATAAGGTATAGAAAATGAAACCAACTATTGAAAGGAAATTATAAATGTGTTCTCCATTTAAAAGCTAAAATTTATCAGGAGAATCTTCTAAGCATGGCTGCTTCCCCGTGCGATTTGCTGCATCTTCAAAAATGAAGCATAGTGAAGTGATATAGAGAACATTTTTAATGCAACAAGATTATAGGACTTGACCTGTTTTTCTTCCCCCACTAGCTTCTTAACTGATTATTTTTTAACTGCATAAGTGTCAAAATGTATGTCAATGCCTAAAATCATATTATCTTCTTAGTTACATGCATTTAACTCAATTAAAATTAATGAGATGGCTAGTGTACCGAAGAAGGGAATCTGGCCCTTAATCTTTTAGGTTGCGTACACACTGCACAGCTATTTCAGAATACCACAGGTATTCCAAAAGAGCTACCCCACGTCTTCATAAGCCACCTGTTATTTTGAAATATTTTTTTTTAAATAATGGGCGCTCTATTTCAGCATCCCGTTCCACAAGAATTAAGGGATGTCTTGAGATAGACTATTTCAAAACTTGGCGCGTCTACACAGCGTCAAATTTAAAAATTATGCACTATTTCAAAATTCAATCATCAATTGTGTATCTTATTTTGAGCTTAGGGTGCTGTGTAGATGCATCCTTACTGTACAATGCCACTGAATCTATTGGCCTCAAAACCAGCCACTTTTATTACAATAGGGAGTAATGAGCTCTGGTGATCTGAACCAAGCACTGGAGGCAAGTTCTTACTGAAATCCAGACTGAGAGTTCCCCTTGGAACTTCCCTCTGGAAAATCATTGGTTGATCTTTGTCTGTCTTCCCCCTCCATGTAAAATAAGGCAATAGCATTTTAAAGATTCATTTGTTAATATTTATGTAGTGCTTAGTATATTTATTGCTATATTTATATTTCATTGTTAACATTTTGTACTTTTAGATCTTTTTTAAAAAACCCTCTGGATTGTAATTAGCTATAGTAGTAATGTATTATGCCTGGTCTGGCTGTAATTTTAAGACTAAACAAAGGAAGAATAAGAATACGCAACTAATTATTGCCCAGATGCTCCATGTTTTCAAAAACCTAAATGCTTGTCACAGTCCTCCCCCAATGAAAATTACACATGAGATTTTTTTATTAAGAATGTAGTAAAATAGGGTGCCTGGTTTAATTTAGTCTGGCAAAGCTGCATAAAATATACCCTATAAAAACAGTTGTGTGGTTAAAAGAATGACATCTGAGAAATAAATAATTTCAATAAACAGCTAAAGCAATATGGAAAGTTTAATGTTAATGTTGTAACACAGAGATAAATTTGTCATGCTTATAACTAGAGATGGGCCAAGGAAGCAGCAAGGAAGCATTGTGCAGATCATAATCCAATATTGTCTTAAAATGAGGTCTGATGTTCAGGTACAGAGTGAAATGACAGAATGGATAATTCAGATCAATGGTGCTAAAAACTTGTGCACTATTTTTGCATGATTTCATCTTCAAATCTTTTATATTGCAGACTTTCTGGAATTTCCACTGTTTTGGACTGGACAAAGAAAACAGAAGTCTCTTGTGTTTGGATCTGACAAAGGCTGCACTAATAAGAGAATGTTTTGTTGGAAGATTTGAATCAGACTACCCCTTGACCTCATTAAATTTAGGGTAATGGGGCAGAAGGAGCAGATTCTAAGGTTACAATTTGAGACTCTTGTAATTTTATGATAAATATATTCTTTTGAAAACAATAACATTCACTTTCTCACTACGACTCTCTTGCTTGAGTAAGAGGAGCAGAATTGGACTCCAGCTGGTGATTCATATGCACCAATCAGTGCAGTGTTGCTGCATCAATCAGATCCCTAATACTTATTTTTGCATCTGATTCATGTCTGAGTGAATACAGGACCAAATCTTGCTCATCTCATTCAAGTTTACCAGTCTTACTGAAATCAGTTGTAATACTGGCATGAGAAAAATGAAAAAGATTTGGCCCAACATGCTTCCGAAGATCAACACTATACCTTTTGTGTGATAGGCACTTTACATGCTGAACAAAATTAGTTTTTATTCACCTATTTGTTCAGTGTTTTAGACAGCACCAGTGTTGTCCATGGCTAGGGCATGCAAAATAAGTGTATATAATAGTGTATGATTTCCCACACTTATTTGTATGGTAAACAGAGCATTTTTATGTAATCTGTCCCTCCATATTTGGCTTTGTTGCACCCAAACCACATAAAATATTAAAATACAAATTCTCTGCACTTCTGTAGTGCTTTTTATCCAAGATTTCAGGATGCTTTATAACATTAATTTCTGAGGCGGTAAATGCATATTTTAAACTGAGTGCAATAGTAAGATGGGGGACTATGTAAATTTCTATCAGATAATGAGTTAGGAATTGAATTTAACAAGGAGTCCTGTGGCATATTAAAGATTAATAAATTTATTTGGGCATAGGCAAAAATCTACTTTGTCAGATGTGAGTTTTTGCCCACAAAAGCTTATGCCCAAATAAATAAATTTTTAACACTCCACAGGACTTGTTGTTTTGGCAGATTCAGACTAAAAGGGCTACCTCACCGAGAATTGAATTTAGGTGTCCTCACTCTTCATTCCTGTCCTTCCCCCACTGCATGCTGCGTACGTAAACACCCTGGAGATTTGTTTATGTTCTCTGACATAGTTACTATGTCAGACTAAGGGAGGAAGGAAGCAAAAAATACAATTTTAAATCTTTACTGAAATGACAGGTTTAAGATTCTGAATGAATAGGGGGGTTGGCAACTGAAATAAACTGGAGCAGTCACTTTTTACACTAATGATGGGCAATTTGCAGCACAAGGTTCACATGCTGCCCATGTGGGTTCTATGTGTGGTCCCAGACCTTGTTTATTGTTGCCCATGCACAGGGTTGCCCGATTTCATAGGGTTCCATCCACATCCTTTTTTCCTCCTACCTGTATTCCTAAAGTCTCACATTCATGTAAGGAAAGAGCAGGTGCTTGCTAACTGCACACAAGGTTGCCTGTGAGATCCATGTGTTCCCTCTGTAGCCAATCAAAGTGCTTGTATGGTTCAGTTGGCACACCTCACAAAGTCTAGGTATGCAAGCACATTTAGCAAAAATACCCTATCCTGGGAGGGTAGCTTGGTTACAACAATCTTGCACCGCACTAAGATGAAGGGAAACTCATTTGGCCCACACTCCCTAGCCTAGATTGCCCTTCGCTTTATACTGATCTAGTGCATCAACAGTAGGGGGGCTGCTAACTGTTTCAATGCTATATCTGTGCACCAACAAATTTCAGGGGCCCTTATTTATTCACTGGGGTTAAAAAAAACTAGAGCAAGGCCACATATCTAACTAGCCAGAGATCACAGGCAACTGGAAGAAACAAGCAGGTAGGAGGGGCCCGGAGGGCAGCGTGGGGCGTGAAATTAGTTTTCACTCCCACGTTCTGGTACCACACAGCGGCAGTGGGAGGCAGGGACGTGCACTTCGAGAGCAAGAGAGAGCAGGCGGCTTTGGCCAGGGCGCTAGCCACACCCAGCCTGTCCTCCGAGATGAGGGAGGACCACGCCTTGCTACCCCTCTGGCCTGCCATGTGCGGCGGGAGTGGGGCGGCCAGCACAGCGCGTGAGAGCAGCAGCTCGCCAGCGGCCATTCCCCCTGCGTGGCTGCAGAGCAAAGCCAAGCACCCGCAGCGGGCCGCGCCCCCAAGCCCGGGCACAAGCCTCTCCCCACGAAAGAGGCGATTGGCGAAGGGAGGAGCCTCCGCCGGCCAATGGCGGGGAAGACGGAGTCCCCCATTCGCTGCTCCCGCCTTCTCCTCCTCTGCGAGTGCGAGAGACGCAGAGCAGCGTCCAGCCTGCTGGAGCAAGAGGCGGCGGCGGGCTCTGGCTGGGCCACGCTGCCCCCCCCCCCGCGCCTCTCGGGCGGCAGCTGCTTTGCTTTGGCTCGTTCTTCTCTGGGCTGCCTGGCTCGTGTCCTCGCCAGCTCGCCCGGGTTGGGAGTGCGGGGGGGCTCCCAGTACCGCCTGCCGCTGCCTCGGTGGGGGCTTGGCAGCCCGGCTCTGAGAAGGCAGCGGCGAGCGACGGAAAGACTGGCAGCGGCCCCGCGTCCCGTCCCAGGAGCAGCTGCAGCGGGTCTAGGGACAGTAGAAGCAACACCGGCATGTTCCTGGAGTGCACCTGGAGGTAACAACCTGGGGGAGGGCTGGGCTCCCATTTCGGCCTTTAAGCCTTGACAGAAAAGTCTCCAAACTCTGTTCTTTGCTACATCTCCTCGTTCCCAGCCTCCCCCTCGCCCCCCTACTAAGTTCTCCGCTGCTTAGTGGTCTGGCTGTGCAACTTTTAGGGCGTATAAACCTCCACTCTCCCCCCCTTTTAATCTGGTCTGTTCAGACCTACAACTCCTGGGGTGGCTCTGTTGGTGCGAATGCTCTGGAGTACATGCTTTGGGGAGTTCTGCATGCAACGCTTATTTGGTGGGATGTCTATTTATCAGCGTAGTGTATTAACCCCTCAGCTGGCAAGGGTTCGATTCTAAAAACAGCCTTTAAGAAGACACATCCCAAGTTTGGTATCGCATTTGGAAGAGTTCTTATTTATTAGCTTAGTTAGCATCTGTCTTCCTAGTCTGGTACCCAAGCCCGACCTGCAGCTAATAGTTTTTTTCTGTGTGGCACTGTTGCCCTCTAGTGTTTCGGGACATAGAGAGTTACTTGATTGCTGTGTTAGTAAAAATAATCATCATAATACAGTCATAACCCATCAGCTGTTAACATCTAAAATCATCCCAGACCTCTGCAGATTTGGCATGTGCCAAATGTTTCTTTCATATGTCAGAAGTTGTATGTATAGCTGAGAAGTCCTATCAGCCTTTTGAAATTTTATCTAGGTAACATAAGAATGGCTGTACTGGGTCAGACCAAAGGTACAAGTAGCCTGTCTGCCGACAGTGACCAGCACCAGGTGCCCCAGAGAGAGTGGACCAAAGACAATGATCATGCGATTTGTCTCCTGCCATCCTTCTCCAGCCTCTGACAAACAGAGGCCAGGGACATCATTTCTATCCCCTGGCCAATAGCCTTTGATGGACCTAACCTCCATGAAAATTATCTAGCTTCTCTTTAAACTCTGTTATAGTCCTAACCTTCACAGCCTCCTCTGGCAAGGAGTTCCACAGGTTGACTCCTTAAGCAGTCATCCCCTCCATATCATGCAATATTTCTGGCTGGTGTCACTACGTGTAAAATTATACATAAAAAAGCTGAAGTTATAGAGATTTAATAACAAAATGAATAATACTTTTCAGAAAGATTTGGACCGTGTGTTTAAAAGCATAGAAATCAAGGGGGAAAGCATCTTTAGTCCATCTAATCCATTCCACCTTTTCAGTTGGTATGCTTAGAAATGTTAAGTCCCCAGATAGTCATCTGTTTCAGCCCTGAAATTGTGATACTTACATCTTTCAATTACTTTCCCTGACAGTTGATATCACATATCAATATCCTTTTCTGTTAAAGATATCTTCCAAACATATAGACTAAATATCAGCTTTCTTATTTTCCTGAGTGTTCAGTGCTTGACTTTTATGGCAGATTGGCACCAAGTAGTTGGAAGCAATATGTATTTTTATTGGACTCCAAAATATGAGAGTACTGTCATCGGAACCACCATTGCTTGCCAACAAATAGATATGCTTTGTCATTCATTAGTGCACAGAGGTTTGTCTGTTTAGCAACATTAATATAATAATTTTAAAATAACTCTCTAATTAGGCCAACACTTTATTTTCTCCAGGTAATTTAATGATGATCTAAAATGCATTTTTGTTCATTATATTGCGGTTAAATAATGTGACAGTATAGTTTTTAATGTTTAGGCTACACAGTCTGGAAAATATTTGTATTGTTTCTGGTTTTCATTTAAAACCAGGTTTTTTTTATATTGAACTTGAACATTATATTGCAGCTGTGCAGGCAGTGGTCAGCGTGCAATGGAACAGAGCCACAATGATGTTATTAGGTTAGGAGACAGACCTAAAGATTTCTGCAGCTATATGTAACTACAGAAATATTACTTACAGTGAATATTTGTTGGAAAACTCAGGAGGCCTGACTTCACATTATTTTTGTTTTCATAATGCAGATGTCAAAAAGAATGTATGCATTTCAGTAAACAGGAGTATGAGTGTAGCATAACTGTACTGTTCCTACTCAGAGATTAGGGTAACAACATGAGGCTGAGGTAAACTTTAAGTTAAACTAAGTGATCTTGCTTCAAATAGGAAACTTTTATTTTTATATTTTCTCTTTTGGTTTGGATATTTTCAGTTTTTTCATTAATTATGCTGATGAAACTTGATTTGTAATATAGAGGAGCTCAAGAAAAATGTTTCTGGTGGGCTAAAGGATTTGCTGATGGACACTAATACAATTTTAACAGATTGCAGTTTCTATGATGAGAGGGATTCTATTTGGACGTACATTTCTTGAGGAAATTGACCCAAATATACAGGAATGGATTAAGCTAGACTTTGTCACTTCTAAAATACACAGATACTTATTATGAAATGGAATGGCCATGAGTATAACTTTCTCCAGTTACCTTTTTTTCCTATGTGCAGGAGTTGGTCAAATATTAAGATACTTGGTCTAATATTAAAAGCCCTTCTGGGGGGTTGGCCTAGCTTCCCGGGCAATTACCATTCCATACCCATGATCTCCCACTGCAGCTGTGTTCCACTGGAATGATGCAACTTAACTAATTGAATGAGCACTACTGCGTATAGAAGACAGAATTTTCCCAGGAACTGGGCTATGAAAGTTGGTTTCACGAGAGGGAAAAAAAAATGGTACTCAGAAGTTAATGCAAAACTTATTTGTTTAACTTAAATTTCCCTTAGTAAGTTCTTCTCACATGCAACAAGTGGTTGCATATGTATCAAAAACGTCTAGCTATTCAAATTTACCTATGGAGAAGAAAGACATAAGTTATCTTTTTATTTTTGGGAGGCCCTGTGATATTGCATGTTAGGAACAATGCAGTAGGGACCATGATTAATAGATTCTGGTATCAATCTGCAGGTGGACATCTCATGAATGCAAAAATGTTTAGATATCAAATTAGGGATCCTCAGACAGGAACTAAGGTACAGAATAGAAGAAGTGAATGGGTATCTTGCGCTACTTCAGACTGAATGGCCAATGGTCATTCAAAAGTCATTGTGTAATATTGTACAATAATGCTCCAAGGCCATAAAATAGTTAGAGACTCTGTCTGTCTGGATATTGTGGTAGTTTTTACATGGGAAGTAAGATCTTCATCTGGTGTGAACCAGCATGGTTCAGTTGAAGTTAATTGGCTTTGTTGGTTATACTAGTTGAGGAACAGTCACAAGTTTTTAGAGGTACCAAACAAAATTAAAGCTCTTCTAAAATCTCAGACTTCTCAGAAGCCTTTTTGATTCCTTATGTACCTCTCCATATGGTTGGAACTCTCTTTTGTTTCTCTTATGAATCAAATTACCACAGTTCTTCATTCAAATAACTCCATACAATAGATTGCTTTCAGGAATATTGTCATTGGTAGTGCATCGTAAGTGTTAGAAACAAAACCAAAAAGCCTGCAAACATTCTACCACTTTGAGGTCCGTTCCAAATGCTCATCTAAAATACGTTATATTTTATGTACATCTTGTATTAAGTTATGTACAGTGCTAATTGTGGTGCAAAGTATAGTTATTGGCCATTAATTAATGCCTATTTAGACAGTGAGCATGCTGAAAATACTCAGTAAATAACACATTATAATTAATGTTATGACATAAGGGATATTTTCAATCTGTCAGTTGAATTTCAGGTGCAGAAGTCTGGACAGAAGTTTTGTGCCCACATATTGTCTACAAATGTGAGAGCTGTCTGAAAATGACCTTTCCATCTTGCCTCAATCAATCAAAATTGAATGATTTTTGAAAATTCAAAAAAAAATCTTTATCTTATTTCAGATCAGATTAACAGTCCCTTGATTGCTAGCTAGGCTGATAGTAAAGATAATAGCCTAATCACGTAAGGTGCTTGCTATTCAAAAGTGTCCCTGTAACACACGCAGATTGTCATTTAGTCTTTATTTTTAATAGCTGTCTCTGCTTTCTAGAGCTGGGATTCCTCCCATTTCCAGAATCCTGAATAATTTGCCTTTATGCTTTTGGGCTTTGAACTAGGGATGTTAAAAAGTGTATAATCGTTAATCACGTGGTTGACACAACTTTTGTCAACTACACAATTAATCAGTAAGGGGTAGCATTACTACCACTCAATCCCGGCTCCTGCCTGGTCTGACAACTACCTCTGCTGCAGCTCTGCAGTACAGCAGGGGTTGATGCCGGATCCCAGCACAAGCCCAGACTGAGCCAGCCTGCCTGCGCACCAGCTCTTAGTGTCAGGACCCAGCATCAACCCCCGCTGAGAACCTGCACAGGGGTTGATGCTGGGTCCTGGCTCAAGCTGGGACTAAGCCAGCCTGTCACCCAGCCCACTAGAAGTGTACTTGGGTGGGAGGGAAATATTGCATGTAGTCAATATTGTTAACTCATAAGCAACCACTTATCAGTTAATCGTTTAGTCAACTACTCTATTACATCCCTATGCAGAGTGCAATAGGGAATGCAAGTTTGTTATGCTCCGGTGCAAATGTGAACGAGGTTATGTCCAATTGTGAGTAAAGATAATAGCTAGGTGTAGGCCTTTCCCCTGTGTGTAGTAAGTTTTAATACACTTGTGCACCCCTTCCTTTACTCTCAAGCACATAGGGTAAAAAAGGAATAGATATAGGCAGAGAATGAATTTGTCTGGCAAGACATGAGCTTTGGTTTACAGTAATCCCCATGATTTAATGAGACCACTTTTTCCTAGTCCTGTAATTAAGAAGAAAAAACTTGGGGGCTACATTAGAGTTGCCATTAAAGCAGGATTCTCCTCAGCTCCATTCTACACAAATATGCATATTCCCTAACCATCTCCCACATCCTGCCTCCGTTTGCACAGGAAACTCTTCTCAATTCTGCTACGAAGGAAACTTCTGTATGCACACACCCTCATTGCTTTTTACTTTGTGTTTATACTACTTACTTTTACTGTGCATAATCAGACCTATGGGATATAGCTAAAGTTGAGAGAGTTAAAAAGATACTGAGGTTTTTTTTTTATTAACACACCCAATCAGAAATTTGAAAATGTCCTTTCAGTCCTGATTTCAATTAGGAGTTAACCTTGAAGTTTTGCTGTTGACTATATTAGATGCAGGAAACAATCCCAGATTTTTCACTTCTGGAATACCCTGTGGCCTACACTTCATGAGTTCCATAGGAGGAACTCTTCTCATGTCAAAGTTTAGGCTGGTTGGTATCTTACCAGTTTTTAGTGAGGGCCACATGGCTGCCCTTGCTGGTAGCAGAATTGATAGTTTCCTGTGCAAATGGAGGCAGGATGTGGGAAATGGGTAAAGGATATGTATACCTATGTGGAATGGAGCCCAATGAGTCTATTACAGCTGCCAGCTATGTCTTCTAGGGCCAGATTTTAAAAGATAGCTATGTGCCTAAATTTGCAAAATGGCACTTTTGAAAATACCACTAGATGCCTAAGTGTTTAATTCCAATTAAAATGCCCTTTAACAATCTGGGATGTGATCTTTTACTCAAGATGCAGAGTCTCTTAGCTCTTGATATCCTGTGATCGGTTCCTGGTGATGATCAAAGTGATGGTGGTTATACAAGCACACTGGAAGTAGCTGGAATTAAAAAGTAAAAACTGAGTTGTTTAAAAGTGCTTATAATCATGAAGAGGGATTAACAGAACTGGTTCAAATATCTCAAAAGAAACTATTGAAGTTCTGAATTGTTAATTTCTGAACCTATACTTAGCAATGGTTTCCCTTTGACCAGCTAGATGAAATACAGTATTTTTATAGATGCAATAAACCTCTATTTTCCTCTCTTTTAGACTATACCTTCTATAAAGCTTGCTGAAGATAGACATATGTGCTGCAATGGTGACATAAATTATTAAGCAGAACTGGAACAAGTTGTTGAAAAGTTGCTGGTTTTTTAAATGCTGCTGCTGTTGGAAGCAATCTAAGGCAAGTGTACAACATGAGTTTTCTCATGAAACTTCACAGACATTTTCAAAGAACAGTTATCTTGCTTGCCACTTTTTGTATGGTGAGCATTGTTATTTCTGCTTACTATTTGTATAATGGCTACAAACAGGAAAATGAACTTTCTGAAATCTCTTCAGAAGTGGAATGTGGTGATCTTCAGCTGCTGCCATACAAGCTAATGGAACTCAAGACAATGAAGCCCATTGATCCCATGAGGACAGATCCTGTAGTTTTGGTGTTTGTGGAAAGCCAGTACTCAACACTTGGTCAAGATATAATAACAATTCTAGAATCCAGCAGATTTCAGTATCACATAGAGATTGCTCCTGGGAAAGGAGACCTTCCAGTGCTTATAGACAAAAGTAAAGGCAAATATGTTCTCATTGTGTATGAAAATATTTCAAAATATGTGAATATGGATTCATGGAACAAAGGCCTCCTAGATAAATACTGTATTGAATATGGTGTGGGTATCATTGGATTCCATAAAGGCAGCGAGAACAACTTGCAGAATGTTCAGCTTAAGGGCTTTCCTTTCCATGTTCATGGCAATCTGGGTATTAAGGACTGTTGTGTTAACCCTCATTCTCCATTACTTCATGTAACTAAATCCTCTAAGCTTGATAAAGGTCCCTTGCCTGGAAATGACTGGACAGTTTTTCAGATTAATCATTCGTCCTATCAGCCAGTGATCTTTGCAAAAATAAAGACAGTAGAAAATCTCCCACTACCCAGCACTAAAAGTGCTCTCCATGCTACAGTGGTTCATGATCTAGGGCTTCATGATGGGATTCAGAGAGTCCTCTTCGGCAACAACTTGAACTTTTGGCTGCACAAGCTCATCTTTATAGATGCCGTCTCTTTCCTGTCTGGGAAAAAGCTCACGTTGTCCTTGGATCGGTACATTCTTGTTGACATAGATGACATCTTTGTTGGGAAGGAAGGAACAAGGATGAATGTCAATGATGTGCAGGTACAGTATATGCAAAAGCTTCCTTGTGAATTCTTATTTTTAAATATACAGAAATTAATATTTTAAATCTACCAAAGATGCATATCTGCTCTGCCACTCCAATCCCAAATACATATATGTGTTTGATATGGTAAATATTCTTTGGGTTTTGGGAAGAGAGAATCCTTCTCACTTGCAAGCTTCCAAGTTCTTTTGTGGCAGATGCTATAGCTTCAGGGATGAAGTTAAATCTATAGCCTATTAACTCGCCTTTTCAAAGGTGCTAGGTGAGGCTGGTGGGTCATTGTAGCAGGTCCTCTCGCCAATCCCTCAGGTACTGTGGGAAGTGACAGAGAAGGAGCCCCTGCTGCACTTCTTGTTGAAGGTATGTACTCCTGCTTGACATCTCAAGTTTCTGCTTTCCTATCTTTGTAAAAACTGGTTCTGCCATATCCAGAGCCCTCTGCATCTGTGAATGGGAAACTGTATCCTCTTTGTTCCCTTTAACAGCAGTCAAACTTAAAATGGGCTAAGAAATTGCAAAGGATCTGATCTTGCCAGGTGGGAGATACTACATTGGGAATTGAGAGCACTCACGTTTTCCAGGAGGTCTTCAGCACCTCTCAGGATTGGGCCCAAAGACCCCTCTCATTAGTATGTAATACACTGAGCTCCAACCTTTTTTTTGCCCAGGATCTGTCTGCTCTTTCTCTGCAGCCCCGCTTTGCTTGCTCTGTCCCTACCCTCACTTGCTTTCAACTAGGGATGTTAAAATATCGGTTAATTGAATAGTCAAATAACCTCATGAATTCTAATCAGTCGACGATTCTATAATCCCCAGGGGCAGAGCCAGCAGCCAAGGCACTCCAGCCTCACTCCTGAGGAGCCCTCTGACACTCCATGCTGCTGCCTCTGTACCAATGGCAGCAGCATAGGGTGCCAGGTGGAAGCTGGTCCGCAAGGGGAGCCCATTTTAAAAACTAGCTCTCTTTGAGGACTGGCTACCTGTCTCCCTGTACTGCTGCCCCTAAAAGAGGCAGCAGTGTGAGGAGTCAGCAGCCCCCATCTGTCCAGGCAGCTCCTGGACCGGTACAAGCCAGAACTGAGCCAGGCTGCTGGCTAGTCTGCTTAAAAAATGTACTGGCGGGGGTGGGGAAAGGGAAATGCATCATCTATTGCATTAACCTATAAGCTTTTGCTTATCAGTTAATCCACTATACTATTACATCCTTGCTTTCAATAGGCTGGGGCAGGTGATTGGGGTTTGGGGATGGGTGTAGGCTCTGGGCTGGGGACAAGGGTTGTGTGGGGTGGGAGGAGGCTCCAGGCTGAGTCTGAGGCAGGATGTTGGGGTTCAGGAGAGATTAAGGGTGCAAACTCTGGGAGGGAGTTTAGGTGCATGAGGAGGTATGGAATCTGGAAGCAGTGTTCCCTGTAGGATGTGCACTTATGCAGCTGCTCAGGAGAGGTTCAAATGTTACCTAACAGATTTAGCAAAACACCCACAGCTAAGATTTTTTTTTTTTTGGTTGTTTTTGTTTCTCATGGTGGTGCCCATTCCATGCGTGCCTCAGTTCGCATAAATGTATTCCGCACGTGGAAGGAAAAATTTCACACCTGGATGGAAAAGATGAACGGGAACATTATCTGGGAGGGAGTTTGAATGTGGGAGAGAGCTCTAGGCTGGGTCGGTGGGTTGGGGTGCAGGCACTTGGATGCAGGAGGTGGCTCTGGGCTAGGGCAGAGTAATAGAGTACTGGGTGTGGGAGGGGCTGGCCCAGGAGAGGGGCTAGGGTGTGGATTCCCACTAGGTGGCACTTACCTCAAGTGGCTCTGGAGTGGCAGTTAAGCAGGGCTAAAGCCTGCCTGCCCCAAGCCCCTGCCAACTCCTGGAAGTGGCCAACATGCCCCTAGGGGGAACACATGGCTTTACAATGCTGCCCCTCTCCTCAAGCACCCATACAGCTTCCGTTGGCCTCAGTTCCCCATTCCCAGCCAATAGAGTGGTGGGGGCTTGCCTTTCAGGCAAGAATAGTGCATGAAAACCCTTGTCCCTTACCCAGGCCCCTTCTGGGAGGTGTGGAGCTGAGGCAAGCAGGAAGCCTTCCTTAGCAGCAGCCCCACTACACTCATAGACATCGCGATTGATTGAGAGACTCTCTGGGATCAACAAGTCAATTATGATTGACTGGTTGGTGACCTTTGATGTAATACATGTATGTTGCAAACAGCAGGTGAATGAGTTGATGCCAACATAACTATTAGAGAAGGCCACATTGTTAATCCAGTTTTTGAAGTGCTAGGATTTAGTCACACCGTTTTACCCTCCTTCTCTCCATATTTTGTGGTTCTTGCATGCAGCCAAGCTAGTTTTTATAAATCTCTGAATCACTCTGTCACTTGTTGAATTCCCATGACTTGTGAGTTTTCCACTGTTTTTAGTTCTAAGCACCTGTAATGTGTTGTCTTTCACTCTGTGGTGCTCCACCATTTAATTACAATGGTGGCTTATGTGTGGGTGAGGTTGACTTTTTTAAGCATGTTGTTTTTATGTTATGCATTTTTTTTAAAGAATCTAGTATCAAAACAGATCAGAGGAAACCTTACAAAAACTCAAATGTTTGGTCTAGAAGGTAAAAATGGGGTAAATGATGAAGATATTTGGTAACCTAACTAGACTGAACTGAGAATACAAGAAAATTTGGGAGGTAAGAGCTATAAGAGACAGCGCACGGTTTGGGGAGGGTAATACTATATTATTGGGTACTATTTTGCTAATTTCACTATAATTATTGACATCCCTCTACATATATTGGCTCATTCAATGATTGACAGTTTCACACTTCTTTTAATTAGCATTGACACATTCTCTCAATTTTTTTCCAAAAATGTAAAACAATAACCTCTTGTTATGTTTGTTCAAATTGATATGAAACTGTTGGAGGTTACCTAAAAATGCTTTCAACACATATACTCTATAAGGAGCTACTTTTTTGGATACCTATGAGGTAGGTAAACAAGAAAAAAGGCACAATAATCCCTGTTTGCATGTGGTGTGTGGTTACAGCATTTCATTTTAGTATTTTGAGAACCTCTTCAATACAAGGCTGAATTTTATAGGGAAGATTTAGAACCTGCTGCTGCTCTCACTTCCATTCCAGTCACTGTGGCAAAGCTGCTTTGAAGAACTGAATTGATGAAATGCAAAAAGGAAACTTAAATTAAGAAATAATACAGGCACTTCATGAAAATGAACAGTCAGAAATAGTTTATTTTTTCTTTTGTTTGTTCCTGTGAAGCGAACCTCAACATTACAATTTGGGTTCTGTTAAAATAATAATTCACTGAAGTCAGTTACCAAAAGCAAAAATACTATACAGACATTTAAAAGACATTCCTTGTGAATAAAACATCTTTAATTCTTAAAGAAAATGCAAAAGTGATTAGTCTTGTTACTATTCTGTGGGGCTAGTTTACAAAACACTGCCAAATGGAGAAAAAATGTAATTAATTATATAGAAAATATCAAAGCAGAAATAATTTCTGAACTGGTAAAACAGATTCAACCATTGAAATAGAGATGCTTTTTCAAACAGTTGCATCTGAAAAAAGTGTTCGCTTCAGATCCTTAATCTGCTTAAAGCTAATGTATTCCGTTAAACATGTTAGCACTGTCAGATGCAATGCATCTCCATTACTATTAATATCAAAGGAGTTACCCTCTGCAACACAATGACATGGTGAATGAATGAGGTAGAATTAATTTGAAATAACTGAATATCTGTTGTTGGAAACCATATTTGTGTATAAATGCCACCATATTAGATATGAGGGATAGTATTTTACTGAGTTCTTCTGTACTGATTGTAGCATAGAGAACTGTGTGCCTCCAGTGTGAAATAGCCTGCTTAATAGGGATGTTGCTTATATTCAGCATCCATGACTAACTCATTTTAGCTAAACTAACAGCATTTACATTCTAACAATGTAGCACTGGAACTGATACTTTTCTATATATTACATTTTCATCTCAATTACAGAGTTCTTTACATAACTTTCCTATTAAATTTAATATTAATAATTTCTGGCCATATTCATTCCTAGTATAACTCCATTGAAGTCACACATTGGGGCCCTGAAACACAAATAGAGCCTTTATTGTTGGTCTGTAGAGCTTGTCATTTTTATTCAAAATATGTTTGGACCTACAAAAGTGCTTTGGAGTAGCTGAGAGTGCAGATAGCCCTATGCCACTCCAGAGATTCCCACACAGTATGTAGTAAAATTTCTCACTATGATGGGGATCATAGAATGGTGGCAGCATTAGATGTGACACACAATAGACCTTGGAAGAAACTGTTCTGTGTACGTGGGTAAACTTAAACTTTACTTTTTTTTTTCCATGGAGTAATGAGTCTCGCTTCCCTGGACCTTCATCCAAGCATTGTGTGTTCGAAAGACATTACTGCCTAACTCTCTAGTTATTAACTTGTTCAGGATAAATAGAATTTTATTCTTAGTATTTTATTCTGACAGGGCAAGCTAATGTTCTTTCACAAATGATAAGAAGTGACAGATACAAAGGCGGTGCAGCAGACTTGAGGCAGCATGAGTTACAGAAAAGGTGCATATAGAGTCAGATTTTCAAAGAACTCAGTTTAATAATTTCACTTAGGCACCCTTGGTAAGTTACCAGAACAATGAGAGCTAATAGGTACTAAGCACTTTCTTTTGTATGTGGCCACTTTTTGAGGTGGCTAAACAGGAGCTAAGTGGTTTTGAAAATAATTATTATATTGATTGTTTATCCTCTGCTCACAAATCTATAGTTACTATGAGAGGGAGATAAGTGTACTCTGTATATGAAAATGGGGTAGAAGGCATCTCCACTTCAGTACCTGGGATTTAAGGACACAGATAGTGGACACTTCTGAAAAATCTGGTGGTGTGGGCCTGTTTTTGTCTGATGCCCATCAGTACAAAAACTAATGGGCAACTAGGCCTTGCAGTTTTTGTTTTTC